CCCCCCCCCCCCCTCCCTCTCTCCTCTCGTGTGCCAGATATCCGTCGCTGCCTTCGTTGATTCTTTGCCTCTTTGACACAAAGGTGGTCCTAGGTGTGGTGTAATGTAACCTTGCAACATGCACGCAACATCTCCGCCCGCCGCCGCTGCCGCCTTAAACAACCACGAGCAGTTCGAGAGCTGATTCTTCGCGGCTGCAATCCCAACACCGGATCGGGCACCGGAGAGACCGCCCTCCACACCATGGCCGCCTTCGGACGCGTGGACTGCGCCAAGGCTCTCCGGGCGCTCTGCGGGAAAGATCTCATCATGCAGCCGAGGGACAAGGTAAGGGAGGTGGGGTCACGCGTTTTTCATGTCGGGGGAGGGGGGGGTACTCATGTAATGCGTACCTTAGTTGTCAAGCCATTGGAAAGAGGGGGAACGGTGGCAAGAAGGATCCGGCTCTCCGGTGAGTGTAGTCGGTTCGCCCTTCTTATCCGGTATGATATGCGCATGAGAGACCGCCGTGGTGGGTAGGTTCGGCAAAGGATGGCGTCTCAGCCGATGCTTCTCGCTCGTGCCAGGTTTCGTGATCCTCCCCGCTGCTGCCGTGTGTGCGTGCACGGCTTGGTTTGCCGTGATCCGGCCTCTAGTCTTGGGTCCCCCTCCCGCGCAGATTCTTCGGGCCCGACCGCGCGCGGGGTTTCCGAATTGTCGTAGGCATGTCTTTGCTTTCGCCGAACGACCGCACGAAACCCGGCTTGATTCGTCTAAATAGTCGGGCTTCGCGGCGTTCGCTTGGCTTTCCACCGTCGGCGGCGACAGCTTCACGATCGGCTCAAGGGTGATTCTCCCTTCGGAGAAAGCCACGGGATCAAACAGCCCGTAGGTGACATGTCGTACGATAACACACCCCCAGGGACCGATTGTCAGAGCTCGATAATGTGCTCCGCGACGAAGAGGAGTCTAGACTATGAATCAAACGATACATGTTCGTAGAGCTCTCGAAGCGACGGTTCCAACGCCGCCGTTTTGGGCACCGCCACACTCCATGGTGTGAAGTAATCGAGCTTCGAAGAAGATCGGTCCTGGGGGGTGTGGTATCTTACGTGTGCGTCACCTACGGTAGCTTGGACTTTTTGTCGGAGCGAGGGAGTGGTCCCGCCGCCGAGCAAATGGATGCTCCCCCACCGATCAATGGAGTCAAGTTCAAGGTGTAGACGGCTGGCACAACACGAACACATGTTTTGGCGCGAGAGAAGATGAAGAGGTGTTTCGCAACGAACATGGTTCCCATCCGTCGTTACCTCGGGGGGAGGGGGGGGGGGGGAGGA